TTGGCACAATCCAGGCTCTGGCTGCTCGAAACCATGGTAAGGTTCCCGGAACCTTGTCGAAAGCCAAGTGTGCCCGGAACCTTCCCGGAACCTTGACGTCCCGGAACCCAAAAGGTAGCCAGAACCCATTGTTCCCAGAACCTTGCTTGAAAGTCTGGTTTGCGGAACCTTGGGTTCCTGGAACCTTGCCCCGAACCCTGGTTCCCGGAACCCTGGGTTCCCGGAACCTTGCCCCGAACCCTGGTTCCCGGAACCGGTTCTCGGAACCCTGGTTCCCGGAACCGGCGAAACGAGGCGGCAGGGTCGAGCAGTGCCCCGGAGCACCCCGAAGGCTATGTGGGCTGAGACCCCAAAGCACTCTGCTGTTGGGGAATAAAACTGGTGTAAAAATGCGATTTTACAAGGTCAGGCGCAACCCATTTCACGCAAAATGATTGTGCAACGTCAAAAATTGCGATTTTCCAACGCCGGATGCAACCCTTTCGCACGATATGATGGCCGAACGTCAAAAACGTAAAATTGCGACTTTTTGAAGTGTGTAAAAGCTGCTCTGTGGAATCGTTTTTTCTGTGGGAAAGCGTTTGTGTGTAAAGGCTTCTCTGTGTAAAAGCTTCTGTGCGTAAAAGCCTCCTGTGTGTACGGGCTTCTGTTTGTAAAGACGTCTGTGTTAAAGCTCGTGCTCAAAAGCTTCTCTGTGTAAAAGCTTCTGTGGAAAAGCTTGTGTGTGTAAAAGCTTCTGTGTGTAAAAGATTCTCTGTGTAAAGGCTTCTCTGTGTCAAAGCTTCTGTGATTCTCTGAAGAACCATCTGTGTCTAAAAGCTTCTGTGTGCATAGGCGTGTATATGTTTCTGTGCGTATAAGATTGTATAAGCTGCTCTGTGCAAAGGCCTCTGTGTAAAAGCTGCTCTGTGTAAACCCTGCTCTGTGAACAAGCTTCTATGCGTAAATGCGTCTGTGTGTAAAAGCTCTGTGTGTAAAGGCGTGTGTGTAAAGCGTTTGCGTGTGTGTGTGTGTAAATGCTTCTGTGTATAAAAGATGCTCTGTGTAGAGGCTTCTCTGTGTAAAGCTTATGTGTAAAAACTTCTGTGCGTAAAGCCTGGGGGCGTCTGTGTGCAAAAGCTGCTCTGTGCATCTCTGTGCATCTCTGTGTAAAAGCGTCTGTGTGTAAAAGCTGCTCTGTGTAAAGGCCTCTCTGCGTCAAACCTTCGGTCTGTAGGCTCTGTGAACAAGCTTCTATGCGTAAAAGCGTCTGTGTGTAAAAGCTCTGTGTGTATGTAAAGCTTTTGTGCGTGTAAATGCTTCTGTGTATAAAGATGCTCTGTTTAGACGCTTCTCTGTGTCAAAGCAAACCTCTGTGCGTAAAAGCCCTCTCTGTGTAAAGGCCTCTCTGCGTCAAAGCTTCAGTGTGTAAAAGCTGCTCCGCATAAACGCTGCTCTGTGAAAACAAACCTGAATGTAAAAGCTGGTCCGCGCAAAGGCTTCTCTGTGAAAGCTGCTGTATGTACAAACCGTTTGTGCTCAAAGTTCCTTCCCGCAAACGCTTGTCTGTGAAAAAGCTTCTCTGTGCAAAATCTTCTCTGTGTAAAAGCTTCTGTGTGTGTAAAAGCTTCTGTTTGTAAAGGCATCTCTGTGCAAAAGCTTCTGTGTAAAAGCTTTCTTGTGAAAAGGCTGTAAAAGTTTCTGTGTATAAAAGCTTCTTTTTGTAAGGCGTGTGTGTGCGCAAAAGCTCCTGTGTGTAAAAGCTTGGGCATCTGCGTGTTAAAGTTCCTGTGTGTAAAAACTTCTTTGTGAAAAAGCGTCTGTGTGTAAAGCTGCTCTGTGTAAAGGCTTCATGTGGTAAGGCTTCTTTAGAAAAGGCTTTTCTGTGTAAAAGCTTCTGTATGTAAAAGCGTCTGTGTGCAAAAGCGTCTGTGTAAAAGCTGCTCTGTGTAAATCCCTCTCTGTGTAAAGGCTTCTGTGTGTAAAAATCTTCTCTGTGTAATTTTTTCGCTGTGTAAAGACAACATGTCTTTTGATTCTGACTGTCGCTCAGGTGCCAGCCCTGGAGCAAACCCTCTGCGGGGACAAAAAAGGCATGAAATCGTGGATATATGACATTTGACTCGCGTCAGCTATCATTCATCATCATCTCCATCGCCATTCATCCTCGTCGTCGTCATCGCCATCATCATTGTCGTCGTCATCGTCGTCATCATCATCATCATCATCACCATCATCATTTTTCTTGTGTATTATCTTCTCGTTTCCTCCCTCCTGCTTTCTTTCATGCCACGCTGTGGTCTAGTGTTTTTATCCATGTGCGAGTGCCGTATCATGTTTTGAAGCAAAACTAGTTCTTCTTCAATCTCTCCGTTCCGTTATTAGAACAATTCTTCAAACTTTGCAGTTCTCCTGATTCTGTTGTTCAATGTTTTTGGAACCTTGCCTGGGCAACTGTTCTTGGACACGTTGCTTGACACTTGTTTATCGGAACCTTGCTTGGGAACCTGTTCTTGGGAACCTTGCTTGGGAACCTGTTCTTGGGAGCCTATTCTTAGGAACCTGCTCTTGGGAGCATTGCCTGGTAACCTGTTCTTGGGAACTCTCTGTTGGGAACCTGTTCTTGGAAACTTTGCCTGCTTGCTTCAAACCCGTCCATTGGGACCTTGCTCGGGAACCTGTTTTTCGTAACTTTGCTTGGGAACCTTGTTTAGGAACCTGTCCTTCGGAACCTTGCTTGGGATTCTGTTCTTGCTTCCAACCTTGCTTGCAGATGTTCTTTGAAATTTCGCTTTGCAAGTTGTTCTTGGAAAGCTGTTCCTGGGAACACGAGCAACCTGGAACCATGCTTGGGAACGTGTTCGTGGGAACCATGCTGGCAGCCTATTGCTCGGAACCTTCCTAGAGAATTTGCTCTTGGAACTTGAACCAGTTCTTGGGAACCTGTTCTTCGAACCCTTGCTTGGGAACCTGTTCTTGCGAAGCTTGCTTGCAAACCTGTCCTTGGGCACCTTGCTTGGGACCTGTTCGTGGAAACCTTGCTTGGGAACCTGTTCCCAAGGACCTTGCTTGGTAACCTTGCTACCCTGCAAGGAAACCTGTTCCTTGGAACCCTTGCTTGGGAACTTGAGGCACTGTTCTTGGAACCCTTGCTTGTGAACCTGTTCTTGCGAACCTTGCCTGAGAACCTGGTCTTGCAAACCTTGCTTGGAAACCTTTTTGCAACCTTTTCTTGGAAACCTGTTCCCGGGAACCTTGCTTGGGAACCTGTTCCTGGGAACCTGTTCCTGGGAACCTGTTCCTGGGAACCTTGCTTGGCAACTGTTTCTGGAACCCTTGCTTGGGAACCTTGCCTGGGAACCTGTTCTTGGGAACCTGACTTGGAAATCGTTCCTGGTAACCTTGCTTGCGAACCTGTTCCTGGTAAATTTGATTGGAAATCTTGTTCTTGGGGTGGCTGAAGACCCCAAGCTTACGCTGTCGGGGAAAAAGTTCCCGAGCAAGTTCCCAGGAAGAGGTTCCCAAGCAGGTATCCAGGAAGAAGTTCCCAAGCAAGGCTAATTAAGTTCTTAGGAACCGCGTGCAAGTACGGTTCCCAAAAACCGTTCCCAAGCAAGGTCCCAGGAACCGTTTCCAAGCAAGGTTCCAAGCAGGAACAAGGCTTGCAGGAACAGGTTCTTAAGCAAGCGTTCCCAGGAAGAGCTGGTTCCCAAGCAAAAAAATCCAGGAGCAACTGGGAACCCTTGCTTGCGAACCTCTTCCTGGGAACCTTGCTTGAGAACCTCTTCCTAGCAACCTTGCTTGAGACTCTGTTGCTGGGAACTTTGCTTGGGAACCTTTTCCTGGAAACATTCTGGGAACCTCACTTGTGAACCTGTTCTTGGGAACCTTGTATGGGCACCTGTTCCTGGGAACCTGTGGCTGGGAACCTGTGGCTGGGAACCTTGCTTGGGAACCTCTTCCTGGAAACATTGCTTGGGAACCAGCTTGCTGGGAACCTTGCTTGGACACCTCTTCCTGGAAACCTCTTCCTGGAAACACTTGTTTGAAAACCTGTTCTGGGAACCTTGTTTTGCTTGGAAAAACCTGTACCTGGAAATCTTGCTTGGGAACCTGTTCCTGGAAAACTCTTCCTGGGAAACCTGGCTTGGGAACCTCTTCCTGAGAACCTTGCTTGGGAACCTTTTCCTGGGAACCCTTGCATGGGAACCTCTTGCTGGGAGCCCTTGCCTGGGAACCCTTGCTTGGGAACCTGTTCCTGGGAACCTTGCTAGGAACCGCTTGGGAACCTTGCCTGGGAACCTCTTCCTGGCAACATTCCTCTTGGTAACCTCTTCCTGGGAACCCTTGCTTGGGAATCTGTTCCTGGTTAGCTTGCCTGGGAACCTTGCTTGGGAACCTTGCTGGGAACCTCTTCCTGGGAACCTTGCTTGGGAACCTATTCCTGGGAACCTTGCTTGGGAACCTATTCCTGGGAACCTTGCTTGGGAACCTCTTGCTGGGAACCCTTGCTTGGGAACCTGTTCCTGGGAACCTCTTGGAAACCTTACTTGGGAACCGGTTCCTGGGAACCTTGCTGAGAAACCTTGCTTGGGAACCTCTTCCTGGGAACCTGGTTCCCAACCTTGCGCCGTGCCGATCTGGCTGCTCCGAGGGATTCTCTTGTAAAAGGAAACTCTTCCTGGGAACCTTCCTGGGAACCCGGTTCCCAGGGGATTTGGCTGCTCCGACCTGCTCCGGAACCTTTACTATGGCTGACGACCCCAAGCTTACGCTGTTGGGGAAAAACATCAACAGGTAAATTCAGCTCGCCATCGTTGACTTGCTTCGTTTGCCGCCAATAGACAACGTATCGCCTATGTTTATCGATTTCGGTTTCAAGCTACGTTTGCTGGTACCATTTCTCGATTTCGATTTTCTGAATCCAATCGGCTCGCTCACTCACCGATCGAGTTCTGAAAGAATGAACTTTGAAATACATGGAATCAGAATTCAATTTCTTGAATAAGAGATTCTGCGGCCTTCACATCTTTCTCGTCACACGCCGCCATGTAGTGCACAGTGGACTGCGCCATTGCCTGACATGTTTAGTGGAAGGACAGGCCAGCACACGGGTATCCTTCAACTGACAAACGAACTGTCTCCCATTCATTGAAAAATCATGCATCTGAGTATTACAAACTGGATCAAGCATTTTGTGAGCAAGTGAAATAAAGATAAAAAGATTCAAAAAGATGAATCAGGGCAATCGTCACAAAGCCTGCCCTCTACCTCAAGAAAGTGCAGTCTGGGATGATTTCGTAGAACACAGGGACTTGACCATTCTAAATACTCACCTTCTTTCAGCCTATCACCACCTTTCATGCACCCCCGGCCTGAGCAAAAGCTGAGGCTGGCCCTGGAGCACTTGGTTTACCTCTTTTCGAGATGGTGGTAACTGCACAAGTCCTGGCGACGCACTTGTCATTGTTCCACTGTCGAATCAACAGAGAGGCCGTTCTGCATAGGCGTCATAATCAGCATGGCCCAATCAAATTAGCAAGTGTGTCACAAGCCCTACGGTTGTGACCAAATCCACATGAATGCTGTCCACATCTGTCCACGCAGGCTGCCAACTGAAGAAGTTGCACGTTACGTTTTGAAGGAGTTCCTAAGGAGTTCTCTGTTTCGATTAAAGGACGAAGCTACATTTGCAGTACATCATTTACTTTGGACATGGCCGGCATGCATTTTTGCACGATGGGCATCGCATGCACTATAAGCATCACATCTGACGTGCCTGTCACTCGTCGCTATCTCTGTGGCCATGCACATCCCCTGTGTTGTGCACAGAGGTTCAATCGCAGATCACAGCTCAACTCTGCTGAACTCTTTGGATAAGTTCGATCTGTCATTCGTGCAGGGAACAAAAACGGCTTCGAAACTATTCATGGAATCCTTGCGCTTGGGATTTCCGTACAATTCAAAGACACTGCCTTTGAGCCACTGATGACTTGTCGATTGTTTTCAAAGAGGGTGCAAACAGAATTTAGTCCTAGGAATCCATTGGAAAGCAGCATGGTTCTTTATGCTCTGTGTTATGCACTTTTGCCAGCTCTTTCAACCCAGGCAGTTCTTTCTTTGGCCTTGCCACTGTGTCCGCCGAAAATGTAGACATGAGGCTTGGTGCTCGATGGCATTTGCCCTGCGCCAAGGAAACTGGGGTCAACTGGGTGAGTTGGTCTCGAGCCTAACAGGGGACGGGTGAAAAAATATTAAAAAGGTACATTCACAGAAGTTTTCTAAACTCAAATTATAGCAGTATAACAAGTCAAAAATTATTCGCAAACAAAAACATAAAAGACTACCATATATTACCTCATTCATTCCACAAAATCACAAGCACCTACCATTTCCACTACCTCATTCATTTCTCAAAATCATCAGTACCTACAATATCTCTACCTCATCCATTTTCTCAAAATAATCACAGTCAATTCATCACACCCTCATTCATTTTCACAAAATCATCACAACTAATCATGTCATCATCTCGTTCATTCCACTAAATCATAACCACCTATCATACTTCACCTCATCCGTTTTTAGAAATCATAACAGTCAATACGTCATTACCTCATCCATTCTACATCCAAAAGCAAAACAACCAAACAAAAAAAAAACAGACCAAGCAAAGAACAACAACACAAAGAACAAAAAAAATAGACCAACAATAAAGATAAATTCTTAGTCTTGAATAATCCTATTTTAACAGTCCATAAATCGACTAAATAATGTTATTAGAATTATGTTGGGTAAATGTCTTCAATAATTACTAATTTAAAATGAAATGCTTGTATTCCATAATATTATCGTTATCTTGGTCTTCTTCTATATTGTTTTTTACTTCATCCACTGCGGCATTTAATATTTCTCCCAAATCATCTTCATTTGTATCTTCATAATATTGACCGTGATAATATATATCTCTAAAACTAAATTCAGTCTCCATTTGGACTTGAATATCAGGTTTAACCCTAAAGTCTAAATTATCTTCGATTTCTTCATAAATTAAAGATAGTAATTCTTTCTTTCTTCTGTTATGATGTTTCTTATACTTTTAAAACTAAATGGTACTCCCTCTCTCAAAATACAATACTCTATATACATCTTGTCTCTTTGTCTTATCGTTCTGTCCTTTTTCGGACCAAGCCTTGATACTCTATATGTATCCTCTACTCTTCCAATGCTTCACTATGCATTTTCACATATTCAGGATCTCCATGAGTATATGATACAATATTACTCAATACATCAACAGGCAAATCCTTCATAAAATTCATCCTAATAATATATACTTAAATAACTATTCTTTCAGCAAATATTCTCAGATTAAAATATATCATTCTTTAAAAACCTACTTAAAGATAAATTAACTAGATAAAATATATACTATTATATGATGAAAAAAATTATAGACTATTTACTAAGTAAGGATTTATCAGAAATACCAAAACGAGGAAGGAGAGAATTAAAGTCAATAATAATAGATGATAAAAGATTTAGATACAACAAAGACAAACCAATATCTACTGGTTTAACAAAGAAACTATTAACAGTAAAGAAAACTAATGAATACAGAAGTTATGCTTTAAACAAGGCAAAAGATGCGTTCAGTGAAGGAAGAGTGAGACAAATACTGACCAAACACGCAATCAGAAACAAATTTAGGGTCAGACATATTCAATCAGCATTCAGAAGATATGCTAATTCTAGAAAATAGACACTTTGAAGGAGAAAGAGGACTGGAAATGATTGCACACCAAAAACCAAGACTAGTAGAGTTTTTAAGAAAGAATAGAAGCGTGAAACTCAACATAAGAACAGAAGCACTCTTTGAAAAACCTGAATATCATGATGGAGGAAATGACATCGGCAGTCAAGAACTTGTATATGCTTTACCTTCAACCCGCTTCAATATCAGTAATGAGGATGAACTGACACAAGCATTAGAAGACAGTGTTAAACAAATCTTATTTCAAAATACAAAATTTAGAAGCATGAGCATCTAATTTACGCTTCAAAAAGATTTTATCAATAACCATTCATTATGACAGATATGACCCAACAAGGGCATGGAGATACATAGAACTAGCAGAATGGATTAAATTAAAAAAGGCATGTATCAACATTAAAACCAAAGACCGAAAATGTTTTAGATATTGTATTCAATCGGTAGTCTATGACAAAATAAGCAAACGTCACCCAGAAGAAATATTCTACTACAATAAACTAAAAGATGATATTTTGAACTGGGATGGTGTAAATTTTCCGACTGGTAATAGGGACATAGACAGATTTGAAGAGAACAATAAATTAGTTTCAATAAATGTTTTTGAACCTGATGACTGCTTAAATGATAATAAAATCATATTACATAGAGGCACTAAAAATACAAATGCCAAATATGAGATTGATTTATTAAAGGTCTATGATGAAGACAATAATTATCACTATGTTTTAGTAAAAAAACAAAAGTAGATTACTTAACTGTGAAAGCAACGCTAATACAAAGCAAAAACACTACTGTCACCATTGCTTAAATCCATTTCAATCAGAAAAGGCATTTAAGAACCATCTTGAAAAAGGATGTATGGCATCAGAGGGGCAACAAACAAATATGCCAAAGAAAGACACTTATATAGAATTTGAAAAGCATAATACTAAATTGCCTTGTCCTTTTGTAATCTATGGTGATTTTGAATGTCTAACCACTAACTCTAATACTGAATAAAAGGGAACTTACGGCACCGAAGGTGCCCTAAGTTGCTCTGGAAGCAGTGCTCCCAGAGGAACTTACCAAGAACATAAACCTTGCGGTTATATGTTGAATGTTGTAAGCAGGATTGATAATACTTGCAAACCGTATTTATACAGAGGTGAGGATTGTATGAAACAGTTTGTAGAACAACTGACCGAAATTAAGAAAGATTTTTTTTAAAAAATGAATGTTAATAAACCAATGGATGAATTAACAAACGAACAAAAATTAGAGTTTAAATTATCGTCTCATTGTTCCATCTGCGGCAAGAAATTTGAACCTGATGATGAGAAAGTCCGCGACCACTGCCACTTCACAGGCAAATACAGAGGCGCAGCGCATGTAAAATGTAATCTGGATTATTCATTTAGATATTTTAAAATCCCTATTTTCTTTCATAATCTCAAAAACTATGACGCTCACTTAATCATTGCCAGAGCAAATGAACTATATAAACATAGAACTAAACCAAAACAAAAGAATAGATGTAATAGCACAAAACAGTGAGAAGTTCATAACCCTTTCATTTGGTGCCTGTCAGTTTAAAGACAGTTTCGCTTTCTTAACTGCTTCATTAGATAAGTTAGTTAGATTAAACAAATATGAAGGAAATCAAAAGATTAAAGATTGGGAAACTCGTTTCAGATATACAAGCACCAACCCATATATCAAATCTAAAGCTGATTTGAATTTGCTGACTGATAAGGGTGCCTATCCCTATGACTACATGAACTCATGGGAGAAATTCGATGAAATAAAACTACCAGACAAAGACAATTTTTACAGTCAACTATATGAAGAAAACATAACTGACAAAGACTACGCCAGAGCAAATATTGTGTGGAAACATTTTATCATGATTTGTATTTGATGACTGATGTATATTTACTAACTGATGTTTTTGAAAAATTTAGGGATATGTGTTTGAACTATTATGGATTAGACCCAGCATATTATATCACTTTACCTATATAACTTATGAAAGTTCAAGATAGGTGTGAAATAGTAAGGTTAAATCAGGTACGTTCAAACCAGGGTACGAAAGGTACGGTGGTACGGTGTGGGGTACGGTCTGAGGGTACGGTGTGGGGTACGGTCTGAGGGTACATGGTACGGTTTTGAAGGTGGAGTGGTAATTACGGTGTTACAGTTGAATGGTGCTGTGTTGCATCTTCATGGTGCAATATTATTATTGTTGTAAAAGTAAATAGTGACAAATGTGCATGCTATGGGCTGATATGGGATCATATGGTATATGATGCAAGGCATACATGGTATGGTTGCATAGTAGATGGATGAGTGGTTGGATATCTCATACTGCGGTAATAGTGTGTCACACCATAGTTGCTTTCAGTTGGCTGTGTTGGGTTGTTTGATCAAATAAATAGGTGTCCAATCATGTACATCACAAACTATCCCAAACACAAGGAAAAAACAAACATACCGATCACTGATAACTACAGAACATAAATTTGGATGGATATTGTCCTGCCATGCTCAAGCAGTGGTTGTATACTGTTTTACATTGTGGCGGGATGTGTTCCAGCACTGCATTGCAACGTAGATGAGATACGTCGTGTTGCTCTGTGATCACGGCTATGAAGTGCCGCAATACTGATGTCTAAAACAATTCATGAAACCTCCTCTGCCGCAAAAAAAGGAATTAGACTTATGGCCCCTATATTGATCCACGTGGTACAACTGTTGCGTCGGCTTGTTGATTTGTTTTTCCCCATGCATGCACATACACGAAAGTCAGCAAGCGGTTTTTGGATCTTTTTAGCAGGTTTGCTTTTTTTCACGTTCACTACATATGCTTCTTGTAGCCAGCCTATTCGGCGAAATCACTTCTGTTGTTTCAGAATCCCATGGTTTCCTAGTTTTGCTCTATTGAGGACCAACTTCATGTACATGTAGTTGTAGTACCGAAGCCTTTTGCTAGGGGCACTTTTCTAACTGTTTGATTTTATCTCAAGGGTTGACCAAGTAGCCAAAAAAATGCTACATGGAATAGAATTAAAGGGGTCAAGCCTCCAACCAATCAATGAGATAGTTTGCTTTGTTTCTGAAGAGTTTTTGTTTCTTCGGGTTATTTTTTGCCTTCTGACTTCGGGCCGGTCCCTTTGGTATTGTTTGGGCACTATTAGAATTATTGATTTCCATCATGTTGAGCTGGTGTGTGGGCAGTGCACGCCCTATTGTTTTTGAAACTACATCCAAAATCTCAACGGTAGAGAAAATCCATGAGCCCTGAGAACAAGGCGTTTGGGCAAACCGGCTGCTTTGGTGCTGTCGTTTTTCGGCGGTATATCAAAAAATATGCACATGCCAGCATGCAATCAAACTGAAATCAAGGAAAACATGAACGCATCAAGGTTTGATCA